ATGGCCCACCCTGTATATATTTACATCGAAAAGATTCAGTAATTGTAATTTGTAATTTAGTATGTGAGTATTTGTTCCAAGTATTTGTTTTTTTCATATTAAATTACAGTTTCGCAAATCCGCGTATTGATATTTCAATAAGTAAAGTGGCGAAACAAAATGTTTATACGGTTTTGTATGCTACAGTCGTTTATTAATGGCGAACAATTGGTAAATTGGGAAAAAAAATGAAACTTAGTGAAAGATACAGATAAATCGCCACTCGGAGAGGAAGTCGAATCAGCCAGCAATGAAGTAAAAACTGGTTTCGGAATCCACGTGAACTTATCACCGCCGTCATTAGTCGCCATTTACCTTTCATTCCCATCGATCACTGCGACTTGCGCGGTCTATTCTATCTAGACTACATCCAGACTACAATCAGACCGCTCTTAACTCCTGGCCAATATGCATCGGCTGTTTCCTTTGGAGAACTCCATTGACGCCTGCCTAGATCATCGCTAAAAATAAGTGAAAGGCCCTCAGATTTGTCAACAATTCCACGATTCAATTTAATGAAACATTCGCCGCACCTCGAAAATGACGCCCGGCTAGAACAAAATAGTCGGCCTTTCTTTTAACGACACATGTTTCATGAATCTATCGAGGGGATAGTAAAAAACGAAAGTAACATGAGTATATCATTAAGATTTGTCAGATAGCAATTAAAATTTACAATATTATTGATGCAGATAAAGGTGTCTCCGTCTGGTGAACGTTCACCAAAGCCTTAACGCTAATCGAAGTCTCTGTTTCACAGCCTTGTCTTAATAAGATAGCTGTCGGTAAAATCGCCGTCATCGTCCAACGATTTCAAGTTCATCGACGCTTTTAAAATCCCCCCCTCCTAAAAACGTGTCCCAAAAAATTTGTTGTTTTAAACGACAGAACATTTACTTGATTATAGGATAACGCAAACAATATTATTCGTACATTAAATGCACGAAAAACTACTTCTGTTCATTTCTGTCTGTCACGACATCGTAAAATATAGAATGTTTTCTCAGAATAAAATTTATGATTTATGTTAATCAGGCACATTATTAATAACTACTAAAACATGATAATTAGCGCTTTATTATGCGTTAATAAGATCAATACAAATTTTATATGTCATTAAAAAATTTGTAGAGACAGAAGAAATATTCATTTAATGCGACTTTTGCAATGAGTTAACACTTGAGATTTTATACGTGTATGTATATACATATGTATATTCGTACGTTTGTACTTATACATATAAATTACATTACGGCATCGTATTTAAATGACATACATATGTCTGTCACAAATGCTTGGATGACGTCAAACGCTTTAAGCGAAATCAACATTTTCGCCATCCTGTTACTATTTTAAGCATAAGTGCCGCATGTCCAAACTAGTATTGAAGTGAGCTGACAAAAATAGATCGACAACGTTAATTTCACTTTGCTGCAAGCCAACCCGTGTAATCACGCAGACTCATTATTCATTTCAGCAATAAT